AAAAGACTTTCAGTTTGCACAGGGGTAACACAAGGAAATGGGCCAAATGCTAAAAAAAAAAAAAAAAAAAAAAAAAGCACGGTAACAAAAGAAAAAAAAACAAAATAAAACAAACATGGAGGCATGGGTTGCAGCAAAACTACTCACGGGTACAAGCCATGGATGGAGGGTCTTTGTCTGCTCGGAAGTAATTATTCTCACACCTGCAGTTCACTGAACCATCGTCATGAGTAGAACTGTGAGGTGGGCACTTGGTGCACTTCGTATTGCCATCTGAAGCCTTGTAGAAACCCGGTTGACAAGCTATGAACAAAATGACTCTTTTAAAATTCTGTGATCATTTTGAAAATGTAGTTTTGAAAATATGTAAAACACATTTCAGGATCTTAGGACATGCATTCACTATGAATATAAATCCATTTTTCCTTCCAGTATTTACAGAAGCAAATAATGTGATCCAGTGTAATTTTTCCACATATACATTTGAATTTGCACCAAATGTTAAAGAAAAAAACCCCACAAAATTTAGATTATTTTGGCACTAGAGTGTGATGAAATTCCCAGTTCATGTTTTCACAGCTTTACTTGGCATTGGAATATTTGTGGAGAAAATAAAGCAAAGCCATGTCATCGTGTAGCCATTCCCTTTTCAAACATCATTTAAACATGATGCAATGTGTACACTATCTGCACTGCAGTTAACACTATATTACTTGTTCACTTGTTTTCTAATTGGTTTCTGTGCGTACAAGTCTATTCCTACAAATCATAAGCAACTATAGGAAGATATCGTGGCTTTGTCTATATTCTAAGATTCTTGATACATGGTTCTCATGAGCTACAATTTATTTTCTGCCTTGACAGTATCATTACTCTACTTTTATGGTAATGGACTAAAATAGAGATTGCAATATATTTTCTTGTCTGCATATTAAATATATAAGGAGATATAATTTATATCTAAAACACTTGTTAACTGTTATTACATTCAAAGTTTTTAAAATAACTCAATAACTCTGTTATCTTCATACTTTCTGGGCATATCTCTGAATGATGTGGTTTTTAAGCTCAATGAACTGGTTTCCAATATTCATTTTAGCTGTCTCTATTATGTGATTTTCATTTAACCTGATATAAAATTCAAAATGCTATACTGTTTCATTTGATCCATTTTCATAGTTACATTGAAATCTGTAATCATTGTGAAAATCCTAATGAGAAATCTCTTGACAGTCCTTTAAGAAATAAATTCGGGGACTAAATTTTTAGTTTCCTCTAGAATATCTTTGGAAGTGAATAATATCTTGAATCTCTAAAACTCAATGTCAGTGCTGCACTGAGATTTGATGACTTAAAGCACTTACACATAGAACAATCCCTGTAGATTATATTTAGCATTGAATTCCAGAATTTTCTTATATTAACTTTACACTGTGAATAACAAATTATTTTCTTTCAAGTAAAACTTGGGTGGACAAATGTTAATTTTAACAATCATTAAATGCATTTGGAAAGATAACACACTATGTTCATAATAACATATCTTCCTACTACATATATTTTGAGAAACACACTGCTAAGGGAAATATGCTGCTAAGACAAACAGAATGACTGAAAATGATAGTAATTATTAATTTAGTTTTGTTGTTTTCTAGTTTCTACTAAGAATGGCTGCTCTAGGATGATGTTATATTATATTGAACAACTTTTGGTGCCACACTGAGAGCCACTCAAATAAATTCTATTGCCCTAACCAAACATAGATTAGGATTATAAACTTTTGAACATTGTCTATAAACATTGGTTAGCAGCTTCATCTCATATCTCCTGTTATATTGCCATGGAGGAAATTATATAAAGTATAAACTATGTACTTAACTTCTGGTTTTGATTTAGCTCATCATTGAAGTGCCTTTAAAGAGGATATCATTGCTCGGTGTTTCAAGATTAAGTTGCAGTGTTCCAATGTATTTTGTTATTTTGTTTGCTTCTGAGTTTATCTGTGTGTCTTTATCTGGGGCTTTTATGAGCTTTATATTTAGCATAAAGATATTCACTAAACAATCACTTTTTGTTACTCTTATCAGTAGCTATATTATATGATACTTAAAAGATAAGACAGTCAGTCATATATTCACTTTTGAGCTACAGCACTACAGCACAGGACTTCTGATAGGAACTTGAAAGCAGGTATAGTTAATAAATCTACAAGTTAAGAATGTTAATTTAAACTAGTAACTAACTTTATCTAATTATGACTATATAATCTTAGAGACGATAATAGTAAAAGATACGTAAGCACATATACATGCAGTTTAATAAAAATTTGTCAATCATCTACTCTTGTTCAGTTTCTTTGATAGCTTTAAAGATACAAATGTCCTTAATTCTGTCCATCTCAAAAGAGCCCTTGCAATCAAAAAACAGGCGACAGACATTTAACACAGGCCACATGAAGCAAGCACTCCATTCTGATTGAGCTATTGGAAGAGACTACACAGAAAAAATATTGTTTGAGAAAGATTGTAAACAGATAGAAGGAGCTGGCCTGCAAGAAGCATAATTAAACACACAAATAGACTGATATGGAAAGACAAACTGTTAAGCAGGAGAATGTGGTAGTATTGTTGGTTATATACTCAACATCTGAATGCTGCTTTCTGCTTGCTAATAGAATGCTGATTTTGTTCAGGATTGCCTCAAACCAGTACTCTCTAACTCAAACTTTATGGCAAGTAGCGATGGATGGCCAACGTTATGGCCAAAGAGATGACCAAAGAGATACAAACAGAAATATGATGAAAGCCACTGGGATACTTTTTTTTTATCCCCATAACAAGATGGTCCCCATGTAACTGAGTGATTTAATTTATGTTATTCCAGAATTATTTATGGACATAATGGCTTACATGGGACAATAAGGAAATCAGAGAGATGTGTACACTGAACTTGTTGACCTAGTAAGCACCTATCTCAAGATTTATTATGATATTGGAAAAATAATATCTTGTTTATTTAAGTTACTGTGGTCAAATTTTGTTTTCCTTACATCAGAAAACATTTCTAAATGACATAAAGACAAAGAGAATTCAGTTGAGATGTACTAATTGAATAGAATTGTAGCTCAATGAGCTATAAAGATCCTAAGAAATCACATTGGCCAGTCTGCATGTTCTTCTGGCTGATAGGCTTTAATTACCGATTTACAGATATTCCTTGAATGTCATCTATATATGAGTATAATACTAGATTCTATAATATCCTATTTTGTAGACATTTTTTCTCTTTCTGAAGTACTTTCATATGTACCATTTCAATTGACTCTCAATCATTCTATTAAATTAAGACATTTGTTGGTTACCTCGGGAAAGAACTTGATATGTTTAGGGCTCATTTCCATAAATCATGGCAATGGATCTCAAAAATCTCTGTTAGTATTAAAAAAAAAAAAGAAAGAAAAAGAAAAGAAAAAAAGTGTGCTAACTGTGAAAGGTCCTGATTTCAACATATAATTACTATGCTTAATTCCCATCCTTCTTCATCCTCCTATTCTACTTCCAACCCATCCTGGAATAAAAAATCCAGAATTATGTATATTGAATAGACTGAATCAAGTTGGGCTAAGAGTACTTGCAATGTAAACAGGAGAATTCAATATGCTAACGTTGGTAACAAGTAAACTTGTTTGACAAATTAAAAATAAAAAATAACAAAAATAAAATAATCATGACAGATATTAATGTATTCATTTTATTGAGTGCATAATTAAAACACAAGCAGAAAGAGTAACATGCTCAAGATAAGAAAAACATTCAATGATAGTCTGAATAAGCAAGAGCTTTTTCTGTTTTAATTTTATATAAATCACTTATTAAAAGCAAATTATTTTTCTTGGCAATTCTGAACTGTTGATATTACAATGAAGCACAGTCATCTAAAAAAAGAAAAATTATATAAATGCCAATCCTTTGTCATCTATTCTAAGTAAGAAACCATTTCAGAAAGACCGACGTTCTCTTGGGTTTCTCCAGAATTTTCTACTTGATGTCCAACACTATTATGGGCACATGGGTGTTTTCGTTGAAAGGGCAGGAGGAGTCTTCAACTTCAAGAGTAGGGTGTCCTACTATATATGGGAGGCAAACAATCAAAATTTCCCTTTCTTACTATAACGAGAATCTCTAAATTCTCCACCAAAGTTGTTCAACAAATTTGAGACTATGACTAAAGAATTAATAATATTAGTAAAATTATTATACTGGTAGGAAACACACTCTTTATATATATAGGGGAAATTCTTTATATTACACACTTGCTTCTAAAATTATCGTATCAATAATCTCCCTCCCTTGAAGTAAATAAACTTGCACTTAAATATCTATTAATGTTCTTCATCCTTCAAAAATTATCATGGAAGAATTTGAAACTTTACTTTGCATACTTGTGTTTTATTATCTTTGCTTATAGTAGTAAGAGCAATGATTTTAATTTGAAAACATCACCCTGCCCTACCTTGAATATAAAACCAGTGATATAACAATCTGCACATTTCTTTTATTTAAGTATTATTTTAGAGACTGAGAAAGTTCAACATATTTTAAAAAGCCAGGCAATGAGTAGAAAGCAAATATGTTAATATGTTTTCTTTCCTTTTATTACTCAAAGGAAGTCTTGGCCAACTTATTACAGAATATCAAAGAAAACAGAATAGTCAAGAAGGGTAAACAAATTAATACTAATTCAGATTTATCCAGTTTTAAGGTTTAAAATAAAAAATTTCTACTATGTAGTCAAGGCCTTTCCTGGAGTAAGCCAGCTACTAAAGCAATACTTAACCTAAGGTGGATGCATGCATATTCAAAGTCTGCTGCCCAAATGACAAAATTCTGATTTATATCTTTCTTTAGATAACCCAATAGTACACATTCTTATCAGTCAAACACTGGTAAAATTATTCATAGATTTCAGGCCCCTGGTAATAAAACCAAAGAGTAATTAAGAGATTAAGATCCTTTAAGCTGCCTTTGGTGCATGGTCCCAGAGATATATCTCTTTGCTCTAATGGAGATTTCTGAACCAGTTAAGTGTGGCAGGAACTCTCATGTTTGATTTTGTGTTGATAAATCAAAATAGCATGATCTATGAATTTAAATCAATAATCATTAAAAATGGAAAGTAGCTCCTCCTCAAACCCTACTGAATATCATCATGGATTTATTAGGAATCAGACTTATTCATATAATGTTTAGATTTTATTTATTCACTTTCATCAAACAAACATGTATTGATCTCCTAAAATGACC